GCGCAAGGATAAACCCTCACCCTCCAAACTTCCCGGGACATGCCCTGGGACCCCAGACACTTCTTCACCAGTTCAGGAGCTCTCTCTGGCCCCAGTGAGGAGCTGGGTGTAATTCAGCAAGACAGCTGTGCTCAGAACAGGATCAAAGCCATATCCTGGCCAGCCAGGGTACCCTGGAGAGGGCACAGGGTCCTGCAGCAGCAGTTCACATGTCCCAGCCTGTGCTCCCACACTGCACCCGGGCTGCCCAAACTGTGTGGCAAGAAAATCTCTCCTAGTTCAGGGCCATGAATCTGGCAGGCTGCTCCGACACCGGGGAGGAGCGTGCGTGCAGGAGAGCAGGGAGCACACACCGTGCCAGCTGCGAGGCCATCGCCAGATCACCCCACAACTTTCCCTCTGCCATCCAGAAGGGATCAGAACCAGCTGATGGCTCGGTGCAGTCTCCCTTCCTAGAGCGCTCGCCCTCCACAGTTTATGTAACAGCGGGTGTTGCTTCCTCCAAGCAATCGAGGTCACTGTTCAGAGCATGGAAATCACAGGCGAGACAAGGCAACAGTGACAGGTCCTGTTGGGGTGGGGGCAAAACCAGAAGGAGAATCCCATGGCACAGCATTGCCCAGCCGGGAGCTGCAGCTCCGCACAAACACGGACCCCTCACGGCTTCCCCGTGTTCCTGCACTCCCCAGGGTGCAGCAGCACACGGCAGACGAAAAGATGATCCTCAGGTACTGCCTTGGCTTCTGGAACAAGGGGCTGTGTGATTCCCACACCAGGCTGGGGGCTCTCCCCCCACCCACACTCATTCAGCTGATGAATCCCTCGGCACCGAAGCTGGTTCCCCTCGGGGTCAGCTGCCACCTCCCCTCGTCCTGGGGCACCTGCACACGCTTATCTACCTTACAACAAAGTTTCAGCCACTTGACTCACACTAACCTCTCGCTGCAAACAAATCCCCTCCCGAAGCCTCCCGTGTCGTTGCACCGTCTTCAGAACTATTTCGTTTAGCCCTGTGCACTGCATCCAAGTCTGTGCTGCTCCTTAAGAGCGCTCACAAGAAGCGAACGTGAGGCGGTGAGACGACTTTGGATTTGAAAAGTCTGCCCGCTCTCTTGGGAAACAGCCCCGGTGCTGCTGCCTGGGCTCCCGGCACACGCGGGGCTCAGCGGGCAACTCGGAGGGACCGAGAGCTCCGAGTGCCGACCTGCACCTCCTCACCTCCCCCGAGAGGAGCAGCGAAGGTAAAATTCGAGAAACTCTCAAAGCTGGAAAAGCAACAGCAAAACATCCCTCCCACACGAGCAGAGCTGAGCCTGCAGCCCAGGAATCCACCTGGAGAACCAAAGTATCCCAAACATTCCCGCAGCCAACGGCAGCGCCGGGGGGAAAAAAGGAGGGAGAAGAGGGGGAAAAAACCCCAAACAAACCCGAACCAGTTACGTAAGTGGCGGAGGAAAGATGCAAAGGAGCTGCACGCACCCGGCCGGGTCCCGG